ATGCATTTCCCTACATTCTGAAAGTGAAATTAACTGGTTACCATTTAATCTCCTTTAAAAATCACAGTCTTTCCATTTGATGTACAAGCTGTACTATCATTAAGGAATGTCTGCAGGTATAGAGTTGCCTGCCCTGCCATAGAATGGCTCCAGGCTGCTGTATTTTTTCACTTCCGTATATTTTTTTCAATAGTTTATCTCTCTCCTCCCCTTGCTGTCAAGCTGTCAGTCAGCTGTCAGTTTTTACTGCTGGAGTCTGCCTTTATCACACCCCAATTTAGGCTGCTAATCTGCTGTCAGCTGAAAAATCAGATAATCAAGACCTCTGAAATTACATTAACAATAGGTGGCAAGATGAACACTGGATGGAGACTTTGAGGTATGAGTTCTAGTTCCTGTCCTGCCTATACCCAGCTGCACGACGGACAGAACACACCTGATTTCTCTGGGCCACCTTGGTGCCCTGATCTATAAAATGAGGAGGAGGAGGAGGAGGAGGAGGAGGAGTGTGTGTGTGTGTGTGTGTGTGTGTGTGTGTGTATGTGTAAGAGAAAGAGAAGAGACAGAGAGAGAGACAGAGAGAGAGGGAGAGAGAACCAGAGAGAGAGAGACAGAGGGAGAGAGAGGGAGAGAGAACCAGAGACAGAAGGAGACAGGGAGAGAGAGAACAAAGAGATATCCAGACCTGAATCACAAATTACTCTTGTCTACCAGAAAATATCATATAAAACTTTGTCTGAGTTTTCAGGGTAGGGTACCACTGATCTTTTAATTGGCAAATCCAAGAACAGTTATTAATCATTAGCTTACTTAACGTCAATGCGCCAGATTAACTTCTGATCACTTCCTTAAAACCCTCTTTCTTCCCTTGGTTCCAAAGAATAACTGACTCATCTTGTTGACTTCTGACTCATCTTTTCTTCTCCTTTCAGTCTTGGGCTCTTTCTCCACCAAGTCCTTAAGTGTCAAGAATGCCAAAGGTGGTCAATGTTGAAAGATCAGGATCATGAGGAGGAGAAAACAAGAGATGCAGAAGCTGTTTGTTCACACAGGCTGCTGTGTGAAAATCTGGGGACCATGTATCTTAGAAGCCAACAAAAGAATGTGCGATAGCATGTCAAATGATGCTGATATGTTAAGGAAGATGAATACTAAGGACTGACCAAAAGATTTAGAAGCATGGAACTCATTGTGACCTTTGCAAAAACAGTTTCCCTCAAAGGCTTTAAGAGAACACTAGGAATGAAACTGGAAGCAGTAAGTACAAGCAACTCTTTGAGGAGATTTTGTTACTAAGATGTAAAAAATAATGGTTTTAATGTGATACTAGAAATGCTCTAGAAGAAAGGAAAACTGGAATGATTCAGGAAAGAGGAAAACTGATGGTACAGAATGGAAAATGAAAAAACTGCTAGAAAAAGTCTTTCAACATAGGCGATGAACGGGTGGTAGCAAAGAATTGGAGATGAGGCCTTAGACAGAAGCAAGGTCAGCTTAACTATACCAATGGGTATAAAGATGAAGAATACACAACAGGAGCTGGGGATTTGTCTTAATTGGTAGAGGCTTTCCCAGCAAGTGAAAGGCCATGGGTTCAAACCCCAGTACTCCAAAGAATATGTGCCCAGAAGCACATAAATGGGTAGACAAAGCAGTGTCAACCTATAAAAGTTCTCTTGTGATTGCTTCTATTTTCCAAATGTCAACTGAGAATGAACACAAAGGCTTGGTATTAGAGGTTTCCAAATAGAAAAGAAGGCATGACTTACTATCAAATATGGTATGCTTGCCATATAATCCAAAAGGCCTATCTAAAGTTAGGAGTATGAATCTAGAGCATGCTACTAAGTATGGTTGGATGGTTTATCTCTAATAATCTTTAGTCTGATGAGTGCACGAAGAAAGTTCATAAAGAATGGATTTAATAAGATCAGGAGTTTTACCAATCACATCTGAAGCAAAATGTGTAAAAGATTAGAGATCATGTATAAGACAGTAAACATAATGATAATATATGGAAGTTAAACTGGATAAAGAAGAGGAAATAAGACAAGAAGGATAGAAGTTGGCTAAATCAATGGACAGCAGCTTCTAGTGAGGTCAAAGGATTGCTTGAGTTAAGGTGATACAATAAGTAAACAAACCTCTTTATATTAGACTGACCTTTTGACAGAGGAATTCTCTACTTTTACATATGATTATAGGGAGATGGAAGATGGAGTGAGACAGTTCTCTATACTCTGGTGGCAACAGACATGCCAGGTGACAAATTAATGGGGGTAGGTAGTTAATAAGATGAATAATCCTTCATCGTCTATTATATACCAGGCATTATCCTAGACACTTAGCATGCACTATTTTATTTAATCAATATATCATCTATGAGAGGAAAAGGTAAATGTAATCATAACTATTAAAGAACCTATGTTCAGGTCCATTGGCACATGTCACAGAGCTAATAAGTAGGGTCAAGAACCAAATACATGTATATGTGATCATAGCATTAAGAGCTTTCCCATCCTCACATGTTTAATACAGATCATTAAATACTTTCAAGGAAATACAATCTCTTACTACTATTTTTCTGGTATCTAAGAATGAGAAAGAGAGTGTGTAAAGAGAGCAATAGGTAGCAAAAGGTATACCAAGTCAATAGTACTGAATGCCTAGTTGACAGACAAGCTCTGAGTTTTAACAGACATTGATTCTATAAATTCTCACTAACTTTGCTGGAAAAAAGGCTTTTCCTTCTTCTCTGATTAATATCTATTACATTATATATAGCTTATTAATAACACAACTATAGATTCATTTTGATTTAAATGATTTTTGCCACCACCAAATAATGTTTATGTAAGGAGAAAGATATAAGTGTTCAAAAGTTGTTTTTTTAAATTACCTTGCTTATTTTGCCTTTGGAATTACAAATATTTTTCAACATTTCATTGAAATAATACACTTTTAAAACTGCAGGCATTAAAATGATTGTCATTCATGAAATAATCATTTACTAACACTGCGTGAGTTCAGGTTGTACAAAGCAAATTACCATTTGAAAAAACTCAAATAACACTCTGGGCTAAGACCCTGCTTATGAATGTTATCTTGGCCACAGTATTTCTTAACCTTCTTCTACTTAGCTAGATTCCCTTATGGTAAATGTGGAAATTAATAAGCTATTGCATTGCCTTAGGTGCATTATCATGATGTTGTAGGAGCATATCTGATGCAAATGATTTCTACAAAATATCATTATTTGAATCTATGGTAGTAAGAAGAATTATGACCACCTATTCAATTAAGGATGTATATCTGCCTAAATATTAAACTTAAAAACTTATTTCAAAAGCAGATCTCATATTAAAAAATGCAAATATATAACTGTTTCTAGCTATTGACAGATATAAAGTTTAACGATTACAGTTATAAAGTATAACAATTATAGTTTTCAAAAGTTAAAATTCTCTTATCACACATAAGAAAACTATCTATATAAAAATATACAAACATATTCATATAGTTAGCCCTCTATCCAAAGTCCCCTATTCATATACTGAACAAATGACAGATCAAATATGTTTGGGAAGAAAAAAATTTATGTATTGAAAATGTACAGACTTTTTTTTCTTGCCATTATTCCCTAAACAATACCACGTAACAACTATATACATACCATTTACACTGTATTATGTACTATAAGTAATCTAGATATGATTTTAAATATGCAGGAAAATGTGCATAGGTTATATGCAATGTAAGTACTATACCCTTTTACATAAGAGACTTGAGCATTTGTAGCTTTTGGTATTCCTGAGGGTGGGGAGGTGTCATGGAATATAACTACAGGCACGCATGTACACACATATACCATATTTTTTTTTCTGTATGTGTTTTACATATATGTATGTATATAAAACACATATGTATATATTTACCCATACATACATATTTGAAAACTGATTATGATCTTAGTTCTACCTAGCATTACAGTTTTCAAAAGAGCAAATAAATCATTAGATGTTATTGACAAATAACCTACAATGACAGGAAATTTTAATAATAAACAGAAATTTGAATCTGAAGTCATAGAACCAAACAGTCTAGTGTATGACTCCAAGCCAACCTCAATATCTCTGGGCCTCTGTTTTCTGTACCACATAAAGTAAGAACTATGCAAGGCTGTCTAACTTAAATTTTATGACTCACTAACTTGATTTGGTATGGGACATATTTTCATCAGTGAAATACTGAGTAGTAAGACACTCGAATAAATTAGCATTGAAAGTACAGATAGAGAGTCCTGCCCTACAGCAAAATCTGGATGAATTCAGTAAGTGAAGAACACAGAGACTAATGTTGACTTTCTACACAGCATATATGAACATTAAATCATTTCCAATCTTCATTTCAGAGTTAGGAAGAAACAGCTGTCCCTGAACTCCTTTTAAGGACAGTTACAAAACAGCAGCAAACACCACTAGTATGAGTCCCACTGAAGTAAACTTTCTATTCACAGGAGAAAAACATTCCTAGTAGTTATAAAATAGTTTTGCTAGGTTTAATCAAAAATGAAAAGGAACCCCAGAATGTTCCCTTTGAGCCACATTATCCATTGCTAATTCAGGGTGGGCCCAGTAACAAGGGTAACAAAAATGTCCTTAAAAGAGAAAATGGCAATTAAGTGCATTTGAATCCAATATGGATGGCTTAATTCTTTAAGATTATATATAAATAATAAAGATGAAAGAGGAAAAATAACAGAAGAACAAAGCATGGGAAATTAAAGTCATCCAAGCAATAAGACTGATTTAGTTAAGAGTTACTATTATGCATTTTAAATCAATGGGCCTAAGAAGAATGCAAAGTAGAGAAATATGCTTGACAATGATTTCTGTAATAAGACAACAAATAGTAAGGTTTAAAACCAAAACATCCTACTTTGGCAAACAAATAAGTAAGAATAAAGAATGGAAGAACTCAATATCTGAACTACCCATTCAGTAATAAGTTAGATACCTGATTATTTAAAATCTTTATAAATCATGTATGGAGACATACAACTCAATTCTCTACTCAACCAAACTTATTGTGAAAAGTTAAAGCTGGCAAAAAGAACACCAATTTCTCTACATTAGAGAAGTAATCTGTAACACAATATTGAAAACAGAGTCAAACACACTAACCTGCTCACATCAGGAAACCTAATGGGAAAGTAAATAACTTGGCACTTGGTCTGATGATACTTTCCAGATCCTTAGGTCTATGATCAGGAATCAGCTTCATAAATGTTCCAATAGAAGTGAGAAATGACTCCATATTAAAAACTGAGTTGAACACCACCACATCAGCCACCAAGCTACATAAAGGGAAAAGATAAAGACAAATGATCAGCTCAGATTCATTTGGAGTTGTTTTTTTTTTTTTAATAAGCCTAAGGCCTATGTGTATTAATCAGAGTTTATACTGCACCTTAGGTTGAAACAAACATTTCACTTCCCATCAGTATCTATCAAACTGTCTCTAATGGATAAACTAGTTCTTAATATTCTATCATGGGAAGCTAGTTTGTGGCACTGGGGGGAAAGGCAACAAGGAAATTAAATGATTTAATGGGACTTCAAACCAAACCCTATTTCTCCATGATGCCAGAAACTTTCCACATTATCAAAACATTAAGTTCAGCAAGATCTTTTGCTCTGTTGCCCAATTTACCACACTGAACTTCTCTGTCAGTGATGTTCATCATTGTACTGCTGAGAATAGACTGCCATACTCTTCACCTCCTTCAAAGGAACTAATTGAGACAAAGCTGTTTTCATACTATTTGGTTAAAGTCTAGTTCCTGCTTTAGCCATGGCTCTAAGAAATGTGCTACATTTTATAAAGTTCTGGAATTATACAGGAAGGATGATGGTACTGTTACATATTTAATAACTCATTTTACTACCATATTATATTTGGGGTAACCAGAGAAGTAGAAAATATTAGTGAAAATGAATCAGAAATCCATAGCATTAGGTCTTATTTATTATATAAAGGAATATATTATAGAATACCACAATATCATGGGCCTTCAGATCTAATACTGACTACTGCTTGTGACAAACAGACTGTTTTCCTCTCCTCAGTATTTTTTAAATAAAAATAATACAAAATATACTGTCATAAGAAAATATGAAAGCTAATTTTATGTGACATAAATTTATCAACAGTTTTAAGGTTGCCTGTGACATTTTCCTGGACACCAAAACATGGGTGAGCGGCATGAAACCTGTATGCTTATTATGGTTTCTTTGTGAGTCGAAAACAGATTGAATAAATCACTGCTTTGATTTTTAAAATATCTTCTTTCATTAATCAGTGACTCAGGGTCATTGGAGCTCTATGAAATGCACAGAAACATTTCCATAAGAAGGCATATATGGTTAAATAAGACAGTACAGTCTTATTTCACCCTAAAAATAATAGATGAATAAGACTGAAAAGAAAACATGTAAGTTCACAAGACTGCAAAACACAATACTGTAAGTAGAACTTACACATAGGTAGGAATACCAAACCTAATCCTCAGTTTAGTCTGTATTATATCGGCAGAGACAGGCAAAATGAAAAACCAGTTAAAGGAATGTTGATCTGCTATCCCTATGCCTCCCCTCCAAAAGTGCTTCTGTATAAAAGTCTGTTTGTTTGGTTTTTGTTTTTTTCCAGTTGCTTCCTGGTGCAAATTTGGGGAATGGGTATGATTACCCCAAAGATAGTAGAAAGGAATGTCACAAAATTGCTGACACAGTTCTAATCAATAGTATCCCAAAAGCTGAAGGACATTTTACAGCTAGTCTGTTTTCACCATATGTCACATATTGTAATAGTGACCCACAGGTCATAATATAGAGTTATGACATGTATTCATAAGTCATAGGGTTAGTGAAGCCTCTGTTTAAGGTGAGTGTTTATGTCAGTCATCTTTAAAATCCTTAGCTGCTACACAGTCAAGAAAGAAATGTGACAGTGTCAACAAAAGCACAAGTCAGCAAGAAAACTAAAGAAACATTTGAGGAAGAAGGAGGCATACTTTTCAAAGGGAATCAGAGCAGGATTGCTTTCTGACACTCTTATTTTTCCTCTGGACAACTGTGGACTATTTTTTCCCCTTAAGAAGCCAAATGATGATGAAGTCCACTTCTTTCTCTCCTAGCTTGTCTATCAGTTTATCCTCTTGAGAATAGAAATGTTGAAAAATCATGTGCAAGCTTTTATAGTTTCATCTTCTATGAGGAAAACAATTTCTTATAAAAGAGAGGAGGGGCAGTCAACTAATTTCTTTTTTCATATCCGCCCTCAAAGAGCATGCAATCCAACTACATACATTGCTCAAAAATTTGGTTGATGCTAAGTTAAAGATCCAAGATAGTTTACAAAAATAATCTTTTTGGTGCATATCGTCCCTGAATTGGTGTAACTTCCATCAACTTTAAAGTCACCCATAAAGGAAAAAATAGACTTAATTTTTTTCTCAGTGAGTCCTCAGGGGTAATAAACACTATCTGAAAAAAAGAATGATGCTAATTCAAGAAATCATAAGAATATTACAAATGAGTTCTCCACATTGATAAAGCACAAATGATTTTATTTTATTTTTAAAACATATTTCCCTTATCTGCTTCAGTCTAAAAGTATTTTAATTTTATTATGAAATTTAAAAACACTTACTTTTATGAGACATTTGACGTGAAGCAGTTCCACTCTATTTTGATAGCACTGCTACTTCACAATTGAAGCAGCTTATAAAAATGATTGCAAGAAAACATTTACAAAATGCTCAAAACACAGTAAGTACCATGTTGCTGTTTTTCTGTGTCTACTAAACTATTCAACAGACTTGGAATTGTTGAGGGTCTGTTTAAATACATCATCAATCCCAATAGCTAATAACTGTTAATAAAAGTGGTAAAATGTACCCATTCACTGTCAAACTGATTCCATTTGACCTGTACAGTTATGTAATAGGATTCTGCAGCAAAGCCATTTGGGACTTGTTATTAACTTCTTTCATCAACTAAGCATCAGGAGATACACTCTGTTGAAGTACAATAGAGAAGGACCCTCACCTTTGAAATGTCATGGTATTTTAAGGCTATGTCATTTCAAAAGATGCAATGAGAAGAGTAAGAAAAAAACACCAAAAGGTTCACTTTTCGTTTTCCAGTTTTCTGTTTTATGAACAACAACAAAAAAAGAGGGAGGCAGCAGAATCTCTTGCTCTACTACAATTTTTATTATTTCTCTGTAATTTCTATTTTTACTTTAGCAGAATACAATGAAAGTGGCTGGTAAATATGAGTTGCCTAATTGCCCTTTCTAAAAATGTGCCTTAAAAAATAAATCAAGAAATCCCGTGAAGAACCGTGTCAACCTCTGGATTCTATTTTGAATGTTATGAAAAAAAATTAGTTCAACATATAATTAGATTTTTACATATATGTATTTTATAAAAGGAGTAGCTATGATATTATGTATACTGCAAAAATAATTACTACCAGGGAAAGAATGTTTAAACATCTGCACCTACCTTAAGGTGTTTAATTTAAAGCTAAATATCTACAAAGAAAAAGATGTCAAAGGATGAAATATATACCTACCATGAAAGAATTTGGTTGTATCCATATTGAAAATCCCTCTCCTGATATTTCTTGACAGGATATACCAATTGGTTCTCATGGAAGTATAGAATCTTTTTCAATTTCCCAAGGTCAGGCCGAAGGGCAGCCAGTTCTGTCAGGTTAAGAACTGAGCTTGCAAAGAGGATCCTAGAAACAAGGAAATTTGGGTTTACTGTCCTAAACATGGTTGAAGGGGCCATTCTTTGCCCTTCTTCTCTCCTCTTTCCTTTTCTCATCCCAAGAAAAACATATCTAAGTACTATGTAGCAGCATTCTAAGTTTTGAACTCTTAAAAAGTAATCTCTAAGAACTGAATCTCATTGGTCTCAGCTTTGAGAAATATAAAACAAATGGGAGGGAGGATGAGGAGAGGGGAGAAGGGAGAGAATAAGAGAGGGAGGAGGGAAGGAGGAGGAGGAGGAGAAGCAGCAGGAGGGTGGATTTTATTGAAAAAGCCAAGAAAAGCTCTATATAAAGGACAAATGGAACAAAGATAATGCTAACTGGGGAATACTTTGCTTGCCAGTTTTCATTACAGTTTACTTCTTTATGCAAACAACTACTGAAATTTAATATAAAAGCAAGAATGGCACACATTCACATAAACCCTTTTGATTTGTGTAATAGATTTATCAGTGTGGTCATTTTCTCTTGGCATATTTTCTCATCCCCCACTTTAAAATATCCTTTAATACTTACCGTTTAAAAAAAATAACCTTTACTTCTCCCTCACTGGACTGCTAATGACACCAGATACACAATCTATAAAATTCCTTATATAAACCACAAATTTCAAAAATATTGAAAGGCTGATTCCTAGTCTTAGGGGAAAAAGAAACGGAAAGCTTACCTATCCATGTTTATAAATAAAACTAAGTATTTATTTATTTTGTCATTTCAGAAACATCAGCTTAAAAGGCTAAAATGCGATACAGTCAAGCCAGGAAGGACAGAAAAATTGAACAAGACGACCCACTAGGATGAATGCTGGTGAAACAGAGACATATATAAAGTATGACAGGAACCAACAGAAAGGAGGAATAGTAAACTGGGACAACTTGGAAATGTTTCCCCGACAAGATTCCTACACATATGGACACATGAAAGAGACAGTACCTGAGCAGATGAGGACACTTAAATAACACAATTTTGAGGGAATGCCATCTTTATAGCATAATGTAGCTTCATTTACCCTTCATGGCTATAATTCCTACTCTAAAAGGGTCAAAGAAGGTTAAGAGGGTTTTTTGTTTTTCTATGATCATACTGGTAGAAAGCAGCAAACAGAGACTGTTGGTCTAAGCCTGAAGCACTTTTCATTACACCATAGAAATGAATTGGCTGTGGACCACTTACATTGCAAATGCTTTTTTCTGTACCTATAAATACAAAATATCTTCCTTGTTATTACCATTATTACAACTACTATAAATTCACCCTTGCTGACAAGCCAAATGGCTAACTTCAGGTGTTTATATGATCTGCAGTACTAGCCTTTCACACACAAGAGTGATTACATAATAAGTGCATATATCATAAACAGGAATTCAAGTGCCTTCTACATGGGCTGCAGAACCACATAAGACCAAAGGCCAGTGATCCTTCTTTAAATCACATTGCCCTACTGATGTTATGGTTTATCTCTTGAAAGTAAAAAAAAAAAAAAAATCTAAAATCTTACAAAGAAGGTGTATTTATTTTATAAAATGTCCATCTACAACCAACTAAAGCAAACAGAAAAATTATGTCAAATAATGCCTTATTTTGTCCAAAGTTATCCACACCACTACAAAGTATAAGCCTTTCTAAAACTGATATGGAAAAATTCTGAAATATGCAGATATGTGTTACCTATAAATATGATCCCTAGCAAATAAAACAACAAAATATTAATTTCAACCAATCAATATGGAAATGGATGGCAACTTCCAGGTCTAGTTATTGAATCACCCTCCATCCTCTCAAACTTATCTATTAAATTTGATAGACAAATGGGACAAAATATTATTATGCACTCCCAAATGTGATGCACTGAGAAAGATGTAAATCCTCAACGTAGTATCCCTGCCAAAAATGTCTCATCTGAATTTGGTCATACGGAAATAATCATACAAATATTATGCAAAATAACTGGCTGGATCTCCAAAAATGTTAACATCATAAATAGAAAAAAATCTAGATTAAAACAAAATCCAATGTATTACTCCTTGATTGCATACTAGAATGTGAAAAATAAAAACAGCTATAAAGAATATTATCAGGGAAAATTTGAATGTGGACCAAATATAAGATTACAATTTCTTATCATTCTTGAACTTCATAAGTACAATAATTATATTGCAGTTATGCAAGAAAATATGCTTATAGTTTGGAAGTCATGTCAAAGTATTTACATGTGAAGTGTCATGTCTACAACTAATTCTTAAATAGTTCAGTAGAAAATGCTACTAATAACAAATATTCACATGTATATATTTACAAAGAGAAATAAAAAATGTTCAAAGACATTATCAATTGATTAACCTGAGTAAATCAGGTATATGCAACTCATTGTCCTATTCTAAATTGTTGGTATGTTATATATGAATAAAACTACAGATCTGGGGGATGTGAATTAAATGATAGTAATTAGAAAGAAAAAAATCCTACATCCCATAAACAATAAGTCCATCATAAATGTATTTCCAGCCACAATTCAACTGTTAATTTCCTTCATGAAGAATTTCCTCAGGGTGGACCATCTGTAGCAAATATTCGACCACGGCAAGACCTTCACTCCACTTTTATTACACTCCCCCACTTCTCACTTTACCCACCAGCTGATTCATAATTAACAAATCTAAACTGAAAGTTGAGCCTTCCAAAGAAAACCTCCCAAAGAAAGAGAATGCAATACATTTGGAAGAGAAGTGTCAATGATTTTCATAACATTAACTATATGAAGCTGCCTACACCAACACTTCCTTTGGTTTGTTTAATCATTAAATGGAAATTGATTGCATTTTTTAACAAATCTTGAAACAATCTTGTTTATTTCCATCATTAGTAAAGCATTTCACTTTGCTTTTTCACTTTTAAAATGGTAGTCAAACTGAACAATATGCAATTCCTCAAATCTTTAGCTCAACAACCCAAAAGAAGTGATGTAGATGCCCACAAAAGGAATGCAGGTATGATCCATCAGCAATTTTTGCTTTTCCTTCCACCACCAATTTTTTAAAGATGATAATTATACAATGAATGGCATCACTCAATCAGTAGCTAATTCCTAGACTCCCAATGTTTATCTTGCCCCAGGTATTATTTAAGCAATAAATCCTAACAAGGTGTGCTTTGTCATCCCACAGTGTGCCTCTGGCAGGAAAGGGCATAAGGTGAGAGCAAAAACCACTAGGAACAAGATAATTCCTGACAGCTGGTGTTTGAGCACAAGTTAAATTGAACAGTTTATCTCAGCATGAAGATGTTTTAAGGTTTTATATTTAATATTTTTAAATTAACATAAAACCCAGGAAAGGTAGTTGGGCAATCCTTCACAAACATGACACACTACCATCACTGTATAAGCTGGATTAGTACTCATTACCATGCTACTACAGCATGAAGCTGTTTTTAGACCACCAAAGACCTTTAAATTGCAACTTCTGTCTCTGTAAAAGAAACCTATATTTAAAATGTCTGCTAAATTCAAATTAACAGCTACATCATTAGCTTACCATTTCACCCAAAGTACAAATAAGCTGCTATTATAATTGTCTAACCAAAATGGCTCTATGCTGCAAGCACATTAACATCATTCCATGTATTTGGGATAGTGTCCACATATATATTTCAATTGTTTACAGTGAACATCGTATGTACAATTTGAGTCACGTTTGTTTTAAGAATCCAAAACAATCTAACACAATGAAATTCAGATTAGGGAATTTACTCTGCTGTTCAGTTTGAATAAAACCACTGTTTTTATATCCTATTTACTAATATGTACAAAGATATGCTGAACTATACCTAAGCTCTGTAGAAATATAGGCATTATTATCAAGATATATACTTTTCTCTCAAATGGTATGGAATGGCAGCGAAATAAGAAACAGAACACATTCAATATTCCAGCCACTGCCATACACTTTAGTAATAATCCTTCATGGACTAGGTTATCTCACTCTTGCCCCATGAAATCTTTTCAACAGGTACCTCCTCCCCCAAAACCAATGATCACGTAATAGGACAAAGTACACTGTTTAAACACAGATACCAGCATGGACTCTTACTCTTTGTTAAATAATTTGTGTGGCTAGTATAGGTATTTGACAAAAGAGTAAATTCTTCAGCTGTGTCATTTTGCTCCACACCTAACCTCTCAGTCTGGATTCATGTTGCTCAGCCTCATTAGCAAGTTTTTGTGGTTTTCTTCCCTCTCCTGGGCTCCTGTTCCTTGACAGCTACTCTCTAGGATCCTGGCTTCTGTTTTTTTGTGACAATGCATCTTCTGTGATAAAGGAAATATTCTTAACTGTTCCATCAACATACTACTAGCCTCCTATGGCGAATAGCACTTGAAATGTAGGTAGTACAACTGAAGAATGAAACTTTTTATTTAAGTTGATCTTATTAATTAATTTGTTTAAACTTTAATTGAATAAACACATGTGGCTATTGGCTACTACACTGGAAAGCAGGATGACTGGCTCCCTAAACCAATACTCCTTTACTCATGGTACCTAAACACAATTGCTTGCCTAATTGATTTACCTGAACAGGTCTTTGACCTGCTTGCAATCACCTAATTTGTAAGTTCATCTTGACTAGCTCAGTTTCTGCTATGCTCGGTCCAATTCTGGGATTACACTATTTGTCCCCTTTTAAAAGTTGAAAAAACACATGTCCCTTATAAAAACAGTTTTAAACACAAAAAATACATAAATTGAATATCACCTATAACCACTCCAAACAGAGACAGCCACGTTTACATTTTAGTACTCATCTGGCAAGTATATGCTAATCACCTGTTATTTGCAAAGTAATAGACTAAATGAGAAACAAAGGCAAAGCAAGAAAACTGCCAGGCTGAGGAACTGATGCAGAGCAATGACACTGGAGCATTTTCTTCAAGGAAAGACAGACAGAGATGAGGGTGAAGAAGTACA